TTCCTCCTCTCCTTTGCCAAAATGCGAGAGAAGGTATCAAGGGCCCGGGTGACAATTCTAAAACCCGTCTGCACCCGTTCCTCCTCCGAAGTAAACCAAGACCTGGTTTTCTCCCAATCTTCCCAATGCTGCTTACACCAATCTAGCACATACTTGTTCCCCAGATTCTCCGTGTTTAATCTGAAGAAGCCATGTTCCCTCTGCAGACTAACACCCAGATTTAGCAACACTTTGACTGGGTAGTGATCCGACATGGGTTTTGGGTCCACTTCCACGCTAGTTACCGCCTCCCAGGCTTCCCCTCTTGCGAGGACCAGGTCCAAACGTCTTCTTGGTGGTTGCCTCTCTTCACTCCTCTGCGATGATATCCATGTATACCCTGCTTCCTCTGGGTTAACTTGTCTGAATGTATCGGTAAGGCCCTGTACTGTCATGAACTGGGACAGCAGAACAGCATCTGGCTTCAGTGGCCCTTCTTGAGGTGAGTCCAACCCCGGGTGAAGGACCGAGTTGAAATCTCCGGCCATCACCAGATTGGCTGCTTGTGGAGTGAAATTCGGAAGATCTATGAAGAAAGAGGGTCGTTCCGCAGGAGTTGAAGGAGCATAAACAGACATCAACGTCCACTCTTGGCCTCCAAGTTTAATTCTAACCCACACCCATTGACCCCAAATATCGAAATCACTCTCCAACACTTCGGCTTCTAGTTTACTGTGAAGCAAGATTGCAGTTCCTCCCCGCGTCCCATCCGTCGGAGCCCACCATTGCGGGCCCTTCCACCAGTTGGAGAAACGAGCAATCTTCGCTTCGTCCATCTTGGTTTCTTGCAAAAAAAATAATTTGCGCTCTCTCGTGATGGATCCACATTTTCAACCTTGCTTTCTTATGACAGTCCGTCGTGTACCCCAAGCCCCTTACGTTCCACGTAGCTAGGAACAGTCTATCCATTTGCCGATGAAGGACCAGCAGGTGTATGTTGGATCCTGCGATCATCTGTTAGAGACTTGATGCTCCCCTTCCTTCTCCTCCCCTGCGTATGTACCTCTTCTTGCTGGTTGTCCCACGGGGTAATTAGCAGATTCCTGAAATCGGGCGTCCATGGCTTCTTATCCCCTGGCAGTGATTTGCAGAAATCATCAATCAGTTGAGCTTTTACTCTGCCCACGAGATGAATTTTCGCTGTTTCGTTTGAACCTTCAGCATCGAACCATTGGGGAGGAAGCCAATGAATTCCCTGTCCTTCCAGTGAACTCGCACAGTCCTGATGTTGCATACTAGATCATGCAAAACAGAACAAGGACCGACCTTTCATTTCAAGTACAAGATGGCGAGCGGAAGACTTATCAATGATCCGACTCAATCAATGTTGCAGTACAGTCCCGACATTTATCATCATCATACAGTGGTGTGAAGGGYTGRCGCTCACAYAGAATAGATAGCGCCARACCCCAACATACACAGACGAAGGGGGAAGGGAAGAGACAGAGGGAGAGGAGAAGATGGGAGATATCGTCAACTCCAAGTCTGCGTCACAGGTCCCAAATAATCCTCAACGAATGYHTGTATCCCGGAATCAAGTCTGATGACAATGTCGTCATGTCCCATGTCAAAGCTCCATCTCGTAGCCCATAGATGCTGAGAGGCAGGCAGCGGGAGGGGAAGAAGAGATGGTGGACTTATAAGAGGAAGAAGAAGGTCTCTCTCTCTCTCTCTCAGTCCAATACTAACCTGTAAAACTGGCGTCTTGATGCAGGTACAC